TCAATAAGATTAGCTTAACATTTTTTACTATTTTCTAGATTGTTCAAAAATCAAAAAATGTTCGAACAAACAGTAATCGATTTATTAGCTGAAAACTCTTTTAGTGTAAACTACGTTAAAAAGGACAAATATAAATATCCATTCTTGAAAGTATCTTTCGAGCAATATTATTATCATCTTATTATCTGGGATAAAGACACTATTACCATAAAAAATATACTAGACATAGAAAAAGAAAGGTCAAAGCTTTACAAATTTGAAAATGTAAACAGGAAAAATTCAGCTATACTTGTTTATAAGTCTAGTTTAGGGGACAAAGTTAGTAATCAATTCAAGAAAATGGATAATATAAGATACACCAATCAACCAAACCTTGCTAATCCTGATTTTTTAACCGAAAATGAGAAGAATATCATTAATTATCTTTATAATACCATTTACTTAAATTATTTAAATTTAACAGGAATTCCAGATATGAATAATTTTGATTTTATTCAGTTTATGAAAACTAAAGTGAAAAATCCTGAGGATATTGAAAAAAATTTATTGGAATTTGTTTCTACAAAAAAAATACCTTTAACTAAACAAAATAAACACCTTTCCAAGAGTATTAAAAATATCTTAATGAAAAAGCCTATGTTGGGCTATAGAGTTATCGATAGGGATGGCAAATGTATTTTATTACGTAAATAAAAACAAGTGAATATAAATTAAAAACAGGTATGTTCCAGTGAAGTTTTCACTGGAACTGATATTACTGAACCAGAATTTGCAAATAAAGTTTATATGCAAAAGATCTTAATTTACTTGTTCTTTGCTCTGATGGTGAGATTTGACAATTAACGTATGATGACTACATACTGTATTTATAGTTAACCTTAATTCTTCTAAATTATCCTCAAATATATTAGTATCAATTAAATTTTGATTTTTAGTAAAAGAGCAAAAATAAAAACTATCATCTTGTATTTCATTCATTTTTAAAAACTTGTAATAGTAAAAAAAAAAAATTGATTAAAAAATTAAAAATTCAATTATTACGGTATTATTAATAGATGTATTTTTAATTAGTATTAACAAGAAATTTACATATGTATTACAAATTAAATTAGCAGGCAAATTTGTCTGCTCTACAATTGAATATCTGATATTATTTCGATTGTGAATTAAATTTGATTGGTTAAACTAGCAGGCAAATTTGCCTGCTCTACAGTTGATTATTATTTTAATTATAAATTAAATTTGATTGGTTAATCTAATTAACAAATTTATTTAGAAGATCATTTATCGTTATCAAACATGAGACATGTCCTTTTATAGGGGCACTAAAAGATTAGTAAAATAACTTGTAATCTACCTTATTTCTATTGACGGTAACTCGTTTGAATTTGATCTAGTCACAAAAAAATAGCAGAATTTTTTTTAAACAGCTAATAACAGAATTTGGCCTTAATCACCCCAGGCTACATGTTCGAAATTTTATCATTATTTTTTCATGAGAACAGATCTGGAAACATTTATATTTTATTAATATTCTCTATTAAAAAAAATTTGAGAGCATATTACTTGAAAAGTATAGTCTCTATATTTAATTTATATATAAC